TGTATGTGTGTGTGTGTGTGTGTGTGTGTGTATGTGTGGCAACAGGGTAATAAGTGGAGGAGCAGCAGTGCTGGGACATTGTGCTTTCAGTAGTAAAAATACCTATCGGTGAAGTATCCGCCAATATAGCAGGGACAGACAGAGACAGACACACACACACATATATATATTGAGGAGTGGAGCAGGAGAAGGAGGGAGAGCGGAGGTTAGGGATACTGGAAGCGGGTGAAGAGAGAAGGTACGAACGATTTTTGCCTTCCTTTTTGAAGATATGTATGTGTCAGTGGCATTGCTGTTGCTACTGCTGTTGCTGTTGGATTGTCGGGTTGTCTTCGAACGCAATGGGAGGGCAGGGCAGGGGAGGGGACGAGGATGGAGGGACTCGAGAGAGGGCTGAGGGAATAGGAATGGACGAGTAGATGAGCTGTGTGCTATGTGCGATTCGTTTCATAGGGTGGCATTGTGATGGTGGCAAGTTATACCATGCCATGCCATTCTATTCCATTTCCATTCAATTCCATTCCATTTCAGGCCAGCTATCAACATTTCTATTATTACTACCATACTACTTTTATTCCAAATCCCAGTCTTCCTTTATTTCCATTTTCATCTTATACTTATGTTTTTTGTCGCTTTTTCTCTTTTCAGTTCTCATGCTATTTTTATTAATTTTACATATCGTCATTATTACTTGGGTGGAGCAATTTCTGAATTGGACTAAGACTACTCAGTTGTGATATACCATGGAAAAGGTGGAGAATAAAAGTGGTTGACATTGTGACAGCGTTTTTCATAAACAAAACTTATTATTTTGACAGTTGGAATTTGGAACTAAATAAAATATGCTAATCAGGTGCTGGTATAGTTACGCACCATTCTGTACCACGTTTTCATATCATTTTTTGTTTTTGTTTTTCGAGATTTAATACGTACTTATAAGGACATTAAAAATAGACGTCATGATCCCATGTATATTGTGCCTGTGCTTATCGATTGTTTTTGTAGTAATCGCCTTCGTCAACACTTGATCATGGTATATCAAGGTACCATACATTCATCACATTGAGAAACTTGGAGAAAGATTATGGTAGGGGAAGAGGTAATGGAAGTTTTGAATATGAGATAATATAATCGTGATTTGAAGAAATTGGTTGATTTATTATTTTGTTCGTTATTATACACCGTGCTTCGCAATCTGTGTTCTCGTTGCCAGTGTTTGTATAATGTGTACTGCTGGTGAAACATTGGAAAATTATCTTTGCAGTTTCATTTGGTATTTCGTTATTGATTACAACTATAATCATCTCAAGCAACGAAAGATATGGGCAAAGCAACTGTTGACGGTAAGAAGCCAAAAGCAGTCAAAAAAATGAAAGATCCAAATGCTCCGAAACGAGCAATGTCTGCTTTTTTCATTTGGATGAACGAGAATCGTGATCGGATCAAAAAACCCGGCATGAGCGTGGGTGACGTTGCTAAAGCTGCGGGTATCGAATGGGCAGCGATGACAGACAAATCAGTTAGTTTTTCATTCTTGGTAAAAAGAACATGAGTATATCATAATGAAAGCATTTTGGTTGGACATCTGATAATGCCACTTGAGTAGCATATGTCTAATTAGCAAAAGCAAGAGTTGGTTTGGTGAAACGTGACATTTTGCGATGTTACAGGTTAATTTATATAGGTGAATAGAATATAGATGCATTTCAAGCAGCTTTTTATCGGATTTACTCAGCTTGCTTGTTGCTGCAACGGAAATGAAGTATCGAACAATTTTGCATGTTGCTTGAAGCGACTATTATTTTAATTAGCAACTACTTGCATAGTATTCAGATTTTTTGGGAAATGGTTTTTGCCTTTTATTGTTGTCAGCATTTTCTCTCTTGTTAAAAATGTGTCCGAATTCTTATTTGATGGGTTCAGCATATGAATAATTAATGAACTATTTAAATGTTTTGTCGTTTTAGAATGAACTGTTCTGCTGTTAACCTTTCAATTCACTTCATCATGAGTAATAAGCAAGGATGACGACATACCGTTTAGCTTTTATTATTTGTGAATTAGGTGGAATGGAATTTAACTGACAATAATATCATTTGCAAAATGTGAATTTCAGCAATGGGAGAAACGAGCGGAAGAGGACAAGAAAAGGTACGAAAGGGAAATAGCTGCATACAAAAACAAGCAATAGGCTCCATCAAGCATCAACAACAAGCGAAACTTGTCATCTTAGCAGTTTCGGTGTCTTTTGTTTTTCTTTCCCCTGCTGACATTATGATGTTCTGTGGAAAGTCATGTAATTAACCGTACCAATATTTTTTGATCAATTTTGGTCCAGTTTCTATATGGCACTTTCATCCTTTTTTTTGTGATCTCAGGCGAATCGCGCAAAACTCGTGTGCATAATTTGATTTGTTTTTTTTTTTTTTTTGTGTCTCGCAGTGTGTGTGGATGTGTGCATACGGAGTTTTTATCCAAATATATTTTTCTCCTTCTCTCCTTATCCCTGCCTTTTCGCTCCCTAAAAATTTTCTCTATGCCCACTAGGATTTGGTCGTTTTAACTCTGTACAATATGCTTCAAGTAAATAAAAAAAATTGAAAAATGGCTAGGCAAGACTGCAACAAAATACTGCAATCGACACAATGTAGCGCATTATGTATGGAGTGGTGCGTGTAGTGTGTGAATATGTACGCATGTGCATGTCTGTCGGTTTTTGTGCTGTTACTACAATTTAACGAAAAGTTTCAATTTATCTTTTTTTCATGTTCTTTGTGTCACTCGATACGTTTTAACACTCTGAGAAGTGTTTTCTTTGTATTTCTCGATGGGTACTGTTTCGTTTTGATTTGAGCACTGCATACAGTTTGAGACAATTATGGATTTTTTAAATGCAGAATTTTTATGTCTGATTTTGGAATCTTTCAAAATTGTGTGTATGCGTGCATGCGTAGGGGAGGGATTTTCATTTTCCCATTGTCACATTTTCTAAAGTTGAGCTGATATAATCCCAAATCATAATCTCGAAAGTCGTTAATACCCAATGAGTGTTAAGACTTTCTGTGATCGCTTCAGCCTAATATCGATGTATACCTCTCATTGCAGATAGGAAAAAATTTGATTTATATGAAATGTTTCAAATGCCGGATTATTTATGTTATTTCCTGGCCGAGAAATTTATCCATATGCATCCGAATATTATGATGTGACCGTACATGGGATGGACAAAGATCATAGTTTGTGATCACTATAATGAGAGGAAGTTTGCTTAATTCGTATTAACAAATTTCTTGGTCTATTAATATAAGCGTTTGGTGTGTTCGGATTGGATAAATGGCAAGCAATGTCCGGTCCGGCGCTCATTGTCTATCATTGTTTGTGTGCATTGCTGTTGGTTTTCATTGAAGCGGTCGATTGTGAATTGTTTCATCAGCTGTTCAACACGAAGTGAATGAATCCTTGAAGTACATAAAGTATTTGTAGCTACGGGTCACACATCATGTGAGTCAAGGGAAGAATGTATTAGCGTAGCTTGGGCTTCGTTCAATTATTTCAAATTTAATCGTATAAACAATTTACCGAGGTGTCGCGAGGTTGACACTTTTGAAATATTTCATTATTTTGGTAGCAAATATTTTGCCACTGGGGATTTTAAAGTATCAGGATTCACTGGAATTGTTTCATTCAAAGGTGTCAAGGTTTTTCACTGATTAATTAAACCATAAGGACATGATGCACCACAGCTGAGCCAAATTTGATAATCAAAAGTGAAGGGATTTGCAGTTGAAATTTATAACTTTTTATCTTTAGTAATTTCAGACCGTTGATGACCTTCCGAAGGTTAAATTAGGATATGACGGTTCTGGTGATTTTTCGGTAAATAATAATCACTTCATTCCAGTTATTGGATTAATAAAATAACTTTTCCATTTCGTACATGAGTGAGAAGAAGCAACCGGAGAAGGAGGATGACCTTACTCAAAGTTCTCAAGTTGTTACCGCTTTGGATATGTTTACTGCATCTGATTATCTTGTAAGATAATGTACTTTTCATGTTCTGACAATTCTCTGCAAACAACGACGATCATTTCATCTCACTGATGAGAAAAGAACGGAAATGTTGCATTATTATTTCTTCAAATTTTGTAATTAAGTAATTTTACGATAACTGTAAACATTTAATTAGAGGAACTAGAAAAAAAAAGGAAGTTAAATATGCACAATTCCTTGGACACATCGATTTTAGCCAATTATTGATAGCAATTAATGAAGAATGTAAAGTTTTTCTTTTTTCTCCCTCTCCCTTTCTCTTTCCTTCTTTCAACCTTTCTCATCTTCACTTACCTTTACGCTAAAAATTTTTAATCATTTGCTAAATAATTTCATGTATTAGGGATAAAATTACAGCAATCACTTATAACTTTTTCTACTTTTCGCATTTAATTCAAATTTTTCTCACAATTATTTTAAACTGGAGAATTTTAAGAATGGAAAAGAAAAAAAAAAGGAAATGAATGAATTTAAAACTTATACATTTCTACATTAGTGTTTTTCTTTCATTTCACTCATTTGAAATATTTAAAATAATAATATCATTTTACCATTTATATATTACACATATCCTTTCATTAATAACAGAAAGATTGATGTAAGTAGTCTAAGAAGATAAATCAACAGTTTTATCTTTATATCACACAAGTTAAACTTTTTCTTCTTTTCACTTCAAAATTTTTTTATTCCAGTGATAATTCTTATCCTTATTAAATTAGAAGTATTAAGTGAAGAAGAGTGTTTAGATGGATAATTCAATGGATAATATAGAAGGAATGTTCAAGTTATTGATGAACAATCCACATAATTTAACAACTTTTAAATATCCAAATGATACTACCCAAAGGTGTATTTGAATTTTTTCTTTGATTAAATATTATTTCACATAATGTATGACTGTATGAGTGTGTTGTATTCTCTAAGTGGAATTATAATTATTAGATTTGACACAGATATATATCCTTATCAAATTTACAAAAATAAAAAGAAATCTGTATTTAAAAGGCGACAAATTAGCTGAACACAAAATTTGAATAATTTAAATCGCTAAATTGAAAATTCAAATATACCGTTAATTTCAAATTACACTTTGTGGAATATTTTGGAGAAAAAATTAATGAAATTCTATTGTTTAAACTTCATTTTTTTTTCTTTCAGAATCAGTGTTGAGCAAATTACACCAATGACACAAAAGTTTCAGAGAAAGACAGCTTCTATCACTCGTAATTTCAGTGCTGGTAAGAGTTTTAGCAAGTTTTTTAGCAACAATTTTTCAATCCAATATTTCAAATACTTATTTTAAAGGAAAAAACTATTTGAGTTATTTTAAAATTCATTTGAAATTTCCCTTAATTTTTCCCACAATCCATGATATCATTCATGTTCAGTGTTCATTATCTATTTTAGTTTATGCAATGTTTAAAATAATTTCAAACGAATTTAGATTCGATGATGCGAAAAAATCAGCAATTTATGCGACATTCAATGCAGGGCTTAAAAGTACGTTTACTTCACCTAATTCCTCTTCGTTAGCATTAATTTCTAGAATTTAATAAATTTAAGCTATATGTTCAAGAAGAGAGTACGATGAAAAACATGAAAAGTATAATGATTGATATAATGATAATAACATTATTATTTGTAGAGTCCACGAAATATCGAACCACAGACAACTTTATCATCCACCGCTGCACCTTACATATCTATCGTTGGTAAGACTATTTTATTAAGTTAAATTAACTTAAACTAATAATTTTGCAAAGTTTACATGATTTTTTACTAACTAATAATTTTGCAAAGTTACATGATTTTTTATAAAATGTCCATTAATCTGTCCATAACAGTTAGACTGTAAAATCTAAAAAGAGACTGTTTTTTTTTTTAAAGTCTTTTTCAATTTTACATTCTTAGTCATGATAGTTTTAGCTTAATTAAAATATCATAGTTAAGTGAAAACAGCATTGATTATTATTAATATGATTGATTCAATTGCAGGTCCAGTAAGAGTTCAAACAGTACAAAAAATTGATAAACGATCGATGGATAAATTATTTATTGATGAAATATTAGAGTTGTATGGTTTAGGCGTGAAATATCCGAGTAAAGAATTGATCAGTATAAAGCCTAGGATCCTGAAGTCTCTTCCTACAGTAAATTTTATAATTACCTCAAAAATTCTTGCATATCGTAACCAAAAACTGAATGTAATTCATTACATATGTTAGATTAATTATAATTATGGTCAATCTAATGAAACCGGTTTAAATGATTCAGTATTTTTTTAATGGTAGATAAAATATACGATCAGGAGCTATTGAATTGCCGTAATATGACTCGATAATTTTGTTCATTCTTGAAAGATAAATGAAAGAGGTACTGACATGTTAAAATCGTGGCAAATTTACCATTTATTTTTAATTTATATTACCTTTACAGTTGAATAAATATTCTAATTTCTCACATAAAACTTTTTTCAGGCTACAAAAAATATTCCAATAACGGTGCAATCAGTTCATGTTGGCCATGATTATGTACGAATTGATCGAAAAATTGCAATAGATCGATCGAAAATCAAATTTCAACCTAATCTTAATACGAAAGAAATGGTGGAATTCGGTGGTGGATTGGTCCAAGAAAATAGTTCGTTCATCATTTCTTCTCTTATCAGATACCTTTAATAGTACCTAGTCAGAGAAGATAGGATTTTTATTTAAATAAATGATTTAAATCCAATTATTCAAAAGCTAACTTTTTAAGTTACTTTCAATAGGACGAGCAGAATTTATTTCCTTCTTAAATTTGTAGTTAATGCTATTCTAGATGATCATGAAATAATTACAAATTAGACAAATAATTCAATCTTTCTGTTATATGGCAAAACTTTGAGAAAATGAAATATCTGTTTTAGAAGAGGTGAAACCAAATCGAAAATCAAAATCGGAAGCTTCCATTCTTAGAACACCTGTTTTCAATTTGATCGGTCCACTGGTAATTACAGCATTCCAGAATACATTACATGATGCTAGTGGTAATTATAAAATTTATGAAGAAATTGAACTCCGTGCTGATGGAAGCACTGCAAAACCTGAAATTGTTCGTCATCTTTTTCTTCTAAATTATTTTGAAATTTCAAACAAAAAAAAAATGCTTGGTTTCATTTAAACACTTTGTCAAACTAATCAATTTCATTGAATTTCTTGATCATGCGAATTTAATAGATGCTAGCAAACTTAATTTACACAAAGTAGAAGCTTAATTTACACAAAGTTCGTCTTAAATTTTGTCAGTGATTTACTTAGTTCTAAAATATATTAAGATTTACATTAGACATATTCTTACATTGGCTTGATTTACAATTAATTCAGATATAATTTATACTTAAACATTGACGTCTTTGATTTAAATCCGTCTATCATTCTTTTCAATGTATATTCAATTTTGCAGACAGTTATACCATTTCTTCGAAAGGAATCAGTGTTACCAAAGAATGATAAACAAGAAATACCAATCAGATATCACGAAGACATCCTTGTTGGCTATAACGTGATGCTTATCAAACGTTTAATTGAAATTAAACCTTCTATCACAAGACAGGTAGCAGTATTATGCAAATCATATCATCTAAGGAAACCTCTCTTATATTCATAACATTGGCATCATCACTTTTATTTTATCAAAATTATTCAACGTACGGTACACTGGCAATTATTTCGTTGCCATGGGTAAAATGACAAGATGTTCCAGCTGTTTTGAACTTTTTTGGGGACTTATTAATTCAAAATTGATAATTCCATCAAAGATTTTACGATCATTAAATCCAAAAAGTTATCATCATTATTAATTAATATACTTTATAGTTACAAGATTTTTCATTAAGCGAAGAACGGAATTATGTCACTGATAAAACTATTTGTACTGCAAGCAGTGTTACCAAATCTGTGTTGGTATTCAAAATCTTTCCTTTTCTGATCTCTCGACATTATGGTCAGGAAGAAAAAAGCTAGAGATTTAAATAATATTTATAAATTGAATGGAAAATTAATCTCTTTCTAATTCAACTCCAATAATTATCGATGATATCGATGTTTATTTACTTATATCTTTTATCATTCGAGTGCGATTGTAACACTAAATACAGTCTCTCGTGTTTTGCAAGTTAAACATTGACAGTATTATCAGTTCTTCATTATTTTTAGTTTTAAATTGTCAAATTAAAAAAAAAAATGTATGAATTTGACTGACGAAAAATCAAAATGGAAAGTGATGAAAGAATTGACTTAAAAATTTTTGAATCTATTCATTATTATGTGAAATTTTTGGGTAAAATAACACTTAAACAAAAAAAGTTACTATTTTCCAAATGATCTTATTGATTTACAAAATAGACATTACTATTTTGGCAATTCATAAATAATAAAATAGCAGGTAAAAATTTTAGAGCTCCAAGGATCGCGCAGGAGCGAAAAATGTTAGTCCTACAAGAGCCACCGATAAGGACAGACTTAACAGTATCGAGTGGCAGTTCAGGCGAACCGACATTTCTTCATACAGCGGAATCAGCGCCAATTGAATCGTTTTATGAAAGAGATCAAAGTAGTAAAACAGAAAGAACTTTAAGAACAGCTTTAAGTTCCTCTGAAATGATTAATGCTGGTAATCTTTTGCATATACTTTTGCTTGAAAGAAGGAAAAAGATACTTGGAAACAAACAAATCGAACATACCATTATTCTATCGAATCAGAATGATTGATCAGTGATACATGGATCTATTGAATGATCGATTTCTTGAAATATACCATTATTAAGGCTCTCTTATTTGATTGCTCCAAATAATAAAATTGATTTAAAAAAAATAGCGCTAATGAAATTTTGTGTTTTTTTGTTAAACGTGATTCGCTAATTCTATCATATATGAACTTTTTTTTTTTTTCAGGTCATGAAATAGTAAAAACATTTGATAAATTTCAAGTTATTCGACATCCATCACCAATTAATGGGTATAATTTAAGCTTTAAATGACTTTCTTTCACATAATTTTCCATAATAATGAGATTTCTGGAAATTTCACTTTGATCGAAGAAAGTTTAAATTATATAACAGCTTAAATGGAACAGTCAGTACCGATATTAATCAAAGGTTAAATTAAGCAGTCGAATAAATCTGCTGAGTTAGTATATAAGGTTTCGAATATCCGGTAGCGTTACCGGCGGTGAGATTCATTTCATCAGGCGATTGAAGAAAAGTATTAGATGAATGTATTTGGCATAGGAAGTATCAACAATGAAAAGTTTATTTAAATTAAAAATTTGACAGGCCTAAAGCCAGCAAAATTCCAAAAAGGACGAAACATCATAAATTGAAAGGTTAAATTGCTGTTCGTTAAAGTTACATTAATCATTCGATTTATGGTTTTAATCAAGACGAATTTTGTATTTCTCATTAATTTTTAATTTAACAATCTACTATGCGTTAAATTAGAAGAAATTTTAAATCTAATAGTTTAAGCTTTTGGATGAGATCGAAAGTGATAATCTTTTTTATTATTTTCTAATAGCTATAACAAATCATATCATATTAAAAGCATATTTTTTTCCTTTGTTTTTTTCCCCAAACTACAACTTTTGAATCTCTTGCTCTTCTCTACAGACTTTTATAGGGGGAAGAGGTAATTATTTAATTAGGAAAAGAATATTTGTTGTAAAAATAAAATATTTGTTAGTTTCAGTTAGCAAATCGCACACTGAAGCTTTTATGAGTGCTGAATCACGCGCTTCTCGTCGATTACATGGCATTTCAAAATTGGAAAATCCCAAAGCTAACGATTATGTCTTACGTTAGATTATGTCTTACCTAATTTTTCTGTTTATAAGTTTCAATTTAGAAATCAATTTCATTAAGCTAATGCACGTCAGATACAGTTATATTAACTCTTCAGTTTGTTAAGATTCTCAATTTCATAACAAATTATCAGTAAGAATTTGAGCAATTTTTATTTTTCAGAAGCTCATTCTGATTCTCTACGCACCGGACAATCAGTTAGCATGAAATATATGAAAGTTCCGGAAGAATGTAAGTATTGTTATGTTGGAATTTTAGCAGTAGTAATTTAGTTAATAATACTGTGATGAAAAAATAATCGACTAAATAATAGTAATGACCGCTTTTTTTTCAATTTTGAACAGAACATCCTTAACACTGTGTAAATTTCGAAGATAAAGTAAATATATTATTTTAGAATTCATTTTGTTATGTAATTTAGAATTTTGTTAAGTTAAAGTTTTTTTCTTGCTTCGGAAAAGAAATATGAAATTAATTTACTAAATCTTCTTTTAGCAGCGAAATCATTAGCGGAAACTACTCTAAGTGCTAAATTGTTAACAGCCCGATCATTAGAAGATGAACGGAAACGATCAAAAAAACCCGTTTTGTTTTTGAAGGAGAAATTACTACCGAATGAAACAATGAATTCAAATTCAAAAATTCAGTGCATTTATCGCAGCCCTTCCAATTTCACAGTTAAGACAGCTCGTTCACCTACCCAATCTCGGTCTATTTACTCATCACCATTACATCCTTCAATATCACCACGTTCACCGAGACAAGACGAAAAACACAAATTTATTCCTGATGATTTCGCTGCAGTACTTCCGAAAGGTTTTCTTATTTTTATTAATATGAGCTCTTTTATAAAAAGAGTGATTCACACGCACAATAATTCCAGTGGCTGTGGATTACAAAAGTGTTAACATAATGGAGTACTTAAAAATGATAAGTTATGTTACTTATTTGGTGATAAGTAGAACACATTAAATGGCTGTCATTAATCCAACCATTTTAGTTCAAAAATACACGAAACTTATGATTGAAAAGCTTTTGTCAACACTTAAACTAAATCATTTTCAATCTTCCATATTTTATAGGATTATCGTCTTTCGGTTCCACTTGCAGACATGAAAGTGATTCTATGATGGATAAAAGGAAGTATGTGAGGTTTTTTTGTTAAAATTGAGATATTTAATGTTTGTTGAAGCTCTATAAACTCAGGATTTCGCTTAGATACCTCGATTTAATGAATGAATTATTAAGCATTTAAAATTTTTTACAAAATCTCATTAGATGAAATTCTACGAATAATTTTTTTGATTTCAAGCCATCTTTTTCTGGATTGGATAATATACATCAATACTTGAAATTTCGGAAGTTTAATTCAGAAAATAATTATGATGCAACAAATATTTTTCCGAATTTCATTAAAATATACATACTATAAATAATAATAAAAGGATTTCCAAAAATTGTTAGATTTCCAGAAGAATTTCGAGAAGTGCACGGAAAGTACCATCCACTCTTCCAGTATTCTATGATTTCAGGTACGATGAACCATCGCTACTTTCCGGCAGTGCGGATAAAAACGATAACAAAAAATCACTCGGAATTCCAACTCCTCGTAGCATTTCGAATCAAAGAGTAATAACAGTGAATTCATGTTTTCCGGAAACTAATGAACGAGCATTAACAGCCCATGAATTATCTCGAGAAACATTGGAGCTTGGTAGAAGCTTAAGGGAAGATAAGAAACATCGTTTCATCGAGATTCCTAAAAAATTTCTTGATACCCATTCAGTGGAAATTCCATCACGAAAAATGCTTTCACGTTTGCCACAGCCACATAGCAGTTATTTCATGAGCGAACAGGAGCCGAAAAATCTAAAATCACGCTCGACAGATGTACTGTTAGAATCAGAAAAGAAGAATAACTTATCCATCGTTTCTGAGAAAGATCATGCGTTATCATGTAAACGAAAATTTGTATTACTACCACCTACGTCAAGTATCATATCATGTTCACCCAAACAACTTTCAACAGCTCGCAGTAAAGAAAGTATTATTCCACAATCATCCACCATGTCAAAAGTATTTTTTGCTCTTTCTTTATTAACTTTTTATTTTAGTTTCATTACTTTCATTGAAGTGTGACATTTCATACATACCACTGCTGCCTCTTCTTAAAATTTGAAAAACAACAAAAGGATGTTGTTTTTTAATATTAAGAAATTAGGATTGTATAATCAGCAAGCTAATATTCAACAAATATGAAATCAATTTGATCAAATATTTTGAAATTAGGTAGAAAAATAAAAATTACATCAAAAAATGGAAGGATAAAAAATGATAATAAAGTGAAACACTAAAGTATTATTATCACAAAAGAAAAAAGCGTAATTTACATGATTAATTAAGTAACCGAAATTAGGATTATGATGTTATACTATTTGATTATTGGACGTAGATTAGAATATGAAGGGATAATGACATATTATTTCATACTGCGACATTTTTGCTCAATAATAGTATTATAGAAAGCAGTGTCAGAGGTTGATGAAAAAGTATCCGTAGCATCTAAAAAAACATCGAAAGTAATTCGATCAGATCCCCGTTCGGAGAGATTCCTGTTGCAAGTTCAATCAATGAAATCTGGTAAATAATGGAATTTTTGAAATATTAATTTTTCATCAATATCCATTCATATTGATGACTGATTGGATTAAACAAAATAATTTAGTATTTCATTACATACTATCTCTTATATTTACAGCAGATATGGTTTTGTCTCCAATAGGCCATCATGTCATACTAAGCCTGGTAGTAATGTCTTGTAATAATTATCGAACAGATAAATTATAACTTAATTTCATCCGAAATTATTGTTAACTACGACATGTGATATGTAAAAGAAATACTGAGAATTTATCTATTATTTTTAGTGGAATTCAGTATATGGATTTTAGGAACTTTAATTCTTTTTGTTCTTTTTTATTTTTAATATTTTTTTGTTTTTAGAAATTTTTTTTAGCATTTATATTTACAATTCTGTGTTACTTTAAATACTGTTGCAGGTTATATTTTGTAACTAAAACATTTTTGAAATTTGAATTCATCGAATAAATTCATTGTTATGTTTATCAGTGTAAATTATCAATTTTTTTCTTATTTCAGGACATAAAATATTACCCAGCACTTTTACTAAACAAACTCAAAGCAAACGGTTGCTTATTTGTTTTTATTTCCATAAAAATAAAAGAAATTTTTGATACTTCACATCTAATTTGTCAAAATTAAAAATTAAGAGACTGAAGGTAAACAGAAACTAATACTTATATGTTATGTAACTGAAAAGTGAAAATCAACGCACATCTGAAAAGCGAAGTATTTTCTCAAACGTACATTTGTAAAATACAGATTTAAAAATCTTTAAGTCAGTTTAATGATTTTAAATGAGGATGAATAATTCAGTATCGAACTATCATTTAGGACACCATCATTGATATCTGTAACACAAGAATCAGATGATACAAAAAGTTCCACCGTACGAAAACCATCAAAATGTAAGGAAAGATTTCCATTTTTTTTTCCAAGATTTGATTTCAAAAAAGAAATAGAAAAATAGTTATTTTTTGTGAAATTAAGGAAATGAATTTTAGGGTATGAGAAGTCCATGTTTATTGATCAATCAAAATCATTACCTCAAATGCAAGGTATTGATTTCAGCATATATTTTCGACAGTTCTATTTTAGTAGAAAACAGTTATTTTTATTTCATTACGTTGCGTGTTTTACTGGTGGTATAACGAACGTCAACTACGATATATATAATATAAGGAAATTCATTTATTATAAAATGTTTTCTTAAATTATTTTTATTTCTAGCGACGCATATCGTTACTCCTATTTCTTCTGATATGTCCAGATCATTCGATTCAACAATAATGCAAAAAAAATCAAACGTGTAAGTTGTGCAATATAAAAAGTAAATATCATATTTTCATCGACTTTGTTTAATCTAAAGTCAAAATATTTGAGACAAACTAACAATAATTCAGTTTTGTTTTGTTTCATGGTATAAAAACAATTTTATATTCTTTCCCAAAATATTACTTAAAAATTTTTTTTTCTGATTTCAGAGTGAAAAATGCCTCATCAATTTTTAATACATTGGATGAAAATGTATCTGAGGTAATATCAGGGACATGTTCAAGTTTCAACATTATTTAGTAGATTAATCAGTCTTTCTTTTAACTTTTTTCAACATTTCTCTCCGATTTTTAGTTTAAAATCTTTTTTTAATTCGGAAAGAATGCAAAAAAGAAAAGTAAAACAATCATGAAATTTTGTAATATTTTAAATTCTATTTGAACTTTTCCTCTTTTCTTCAATAATAGTCGAGGTTTTATTTATTTGAAAGTGCATGGATGATTGCAGTGGCATGTAGCACCATAAAATTGAAAATTAATAATGTTCCAAATTATTTGGTAATCGACATTTGCCATTAATACTTTTTTTGGTATACTCATTCATGCTGTTTGAATCTCAATTAGGCAATTGAAATATTTCAAGAGAAAATTTTAGGCTAGCCAAGCAAAAGGAACGTCTATAATGATTCAATCGAAAGATGAGGAAAATTTGACCGTAAGTTCTGCGCGTAAATTTTTATAGCAAATTAACAAATTTCATAAAATTTAACTAGTTGCAGACTTTGTAATTTGTTTCAATTAAATACTTGAACTTGATATTTTTTGTTACATTTATACAGCCTTAAAGAAATTATTGATTTATATGAAATTTTAATAAGAAAATATTGATACATATTATGAATAAGATATATGTGACAGAAGAAAGAAAAAAGGCGATATGAGAAAGGCAGCATTCGATTTGAAAATTGCTGTGTTAACATTTTAAATTCATTTTTTCAGATTCAACTGAATATAACCATAAAAATAAACAATGAAGAAGGCAAATCAAATGGAAAGTATAATCTTAAACCGGAACGTATATTAGTGAAAGGTCGTGAGGTATACCGGAAAAAGGATGACTGTACATTGTGATTCATCGGTTTCTGTAAAATAATTACCATTAAGAAAGATAATGCTGAATATAATACAATAAATTTTACATTAAAAAAGAGAAAGAAAAATTTTTTGTTGACATCAGAATTTTTCATTGATTTATGAAAAAAAATTCAAATTAAAAAGTTCAGCGTTACGTGACAATTCTCTACTCTTGCTTCTTTTTTTTTAAAATGTCAAACATTTTTCCGACATTTCCGTTTGGTTGACGTCTTTGTTGGAGAATTTTAATGAAGATGTAAATAGCGATAATTATTTAATTTTTTTCTAAGATCAAAGCCAAATACATTCATTACAATTATTATTATTAAGCTAAAGATGGATACAATGTTATTTTGAATACTTATGATTTAATGATGAGCTTATTTAATGAACAATCCTGTCAAAAATTATCATATCAGTTTGATTTATATTAGAAAAATGATGGGAATTATTTTTAATTATAAACAAATAAATGGAAAGTAAATGCATAGTTGAATGAAATGAATCAGTTTCTTGTATTTTGTTTTTTGTAACTCGGAAAAGTATATAAAGGATAAAATTTTTTTTCATTCAAACGCTTTATTTTTCTAATATTAAAAGAAATAAATCTAAAATAAAATTATTCAAATCTTACATTTATTAATTTAAATGTTTAAAAGTGTACGCATTACAGTGTCAACAAAACTTTCCCTTTTCTTTTTTTAAAATAAAATTGATATTCAATATTAATTTCTCTTTTTGACGGCTTTTAAATTTCTTAAAACTATTTTATAATACAATAGTAATTCGAGGGAAAAAAAACAAATATTAAAGAAAAGAAGGAGCAAAAAACTTTTATTGATCATTACAAAATTCATCATTTTTCCTTTCATTTGTTTTAAAATATATGCTAAGCATTTATTCGGAAGATTCATGTTTTCAGTGTAGATATCACTTTGTACACACTTCCCCTCTTTTTATCTCTTGTACTTTTTTAAAATTACTTTCATTAGATAGTTTCGAAAATTGATAAAATCTAAATTTTAATTATTTGAAAGTTTATAAACGTGTTATTTTTACGTAAAATTTACATTTTTTTCGATTTATTTTGTGGAGGCTAATTTATTGTTGTTAAGTACCAATCTGTATTGAGCAGTAATTAATGCAAAGTTTTCCATTTTGCAAGTATCGGAATAGCCCGAAGGGAAAATCTCGGTAGCCATGATTGTTGTGATAGTACGTTTCTGTTGCTATCGATGACCCAATCGTACTATCGCACAAGAAAAAAATAAATAAATAAATTCGGAAGAAAAGAAGGATGTGATCAAATTTTCGAAATGTTTGGTAAAATGGTGAAAAAAATATTCTCTTCCTTTTTTTTCAATACTTATTTACAACCACCAGCCAGCAAAAATTATCAAATTCATATTTTCATAATACTTTATATCTTGAAAATTTAGATTTACTCATACATATATACTACACACATACACATATACAAGTACACCGCACATGCACACACACACACACACA